TCACTTCCCAGGGGTCGAATATGGACGCACAGAACCGCCCAACTCTGCACACAAGCAGTCGAGAAGAACTTATCCAGAGCATCAAGCGAGGCGAAAGTCCTACATGGATTCCTAATCGCTCAGTAAGTCCCGCCATCGTCATCCTATACTTTCTCAATATCGTTTCTCGAGATGGTCTAGCATGATGCCAACAAGAATTGATCCCGGCTGGTCATTCAAGCCTGCGGTTCCCTTTTTCTTTTCAACTTTCGTGGTGGAACAGTGCTAATGCCGCCTATGAACAATAGCTGGAGCAATATTTCGCCATCCATGGAGATGCTCCTCAAACCAGATTTGAAGAACTGCAAAAAAGGGAGAGACAGTCTGCCTCACCTCCCGATGAGGAGATATTGGAGCCTCCACAGCGGCGACCTAGCAGTGAAGACCGAAGCGGGTTGTTTCCGGACCCTCATTTGGAGGTTTGGGCTGAGTTTGAAAAGAAACCGATGATCCAAATGAAGTAGTGCGGTCGTGTTGAGGAGCTGGTTGTGCTTTAGGAGCGGATGCGTAGAGTGACAAAATCGACTGCTTAAGATCCGGCCTTGAAGGGCCTGTAGTTGTTGGACCCGAGGGTGTGCTAGACGGTCTACTTGCGGTCGGGGTTTGTGACGTGCCGAAGAAGTCGAGCCCGAGTAGGGAGTCTGCAGGTTTGTTTTGTTTAGATGCAGCAGGCGGCTGTGAAGACTTTACAGGAGCCTGAGCTCCGGCTATATCGGTTGTTTTAGGCCTAGTAGGTGGTGTCGGAGTGTTATCATCAAATAGATTGATGGACTGCGATTGTGCTTGTGTGGAAGGTCGAGTAACAGTAGATGTTCGATGCGATGCTGATCGCTCTAATTTGGCCTTTTTCTTGAACGACAGCTAATGGCTAGCCCCAGTGTTAGAAACGCCTTTTTGAGATGGTGAGATGTTAACATACCACATCGTCGTCAGCTTCGCCATCCAGAGTAGACGGGTCCGGCATTGGTCCATCCATCACCCATCTTTTCGATTCATATTTCGTTCTTATGAAATTCTCAATTTTCCTGTAGCTAGATTAGAATCTTATAGAGCGCTTAAGTAGGATCATTCCTGTGTAAGAAGGCTTACGCTTCGGAAGGGACATGGCCAGGGGGTAGTTTGGCCTCCCAATATCTACAATCAGTATCAGCGATTTGTTCCGTAAATGAATGCTATTCCACGCAGAACCCTAATTATCTTTGGACTTCAAAAATGGGTAGCCATACTTATTTGCCCTTGCGTTTCCCCATCTTACCACACTTTGTAACTGCTCATCGGTCCAAGAATCTAGATCGACTGATTTGACTCGACTGACATGCGTCCCCATGCCTCTATGGATCCCAGAGCAACGTATACAGATGAAGATGCCGATATTCCAACTGGCCCATCTTGGATCTAACCGTCACGAGGATAGTATTAGTTACGGGAATCCAAGCAACAGAAACACATGTGTGACACGAGGGCAATTAGTGGATATCTGAACATCACTCACGCTTATTCCGCTTGCAATCTGCGCATGTCTTGTTGCAATTCAGCTTCAACAGGTCTTTAATGACCTGTTGGTTTTGGGCAGCTCGGGCAGCCCCCGGTCTGGGCCGCTGTGACATATTTTGAGAAATCCGCGGAGAGTTGGCGTAATTGAAAGCAGCGCAATGTGAGATTGGCTTTTATCAGCGAGGCTTCGGGTGGTTGAAAGAGGCCGCAATGGGTAAACTGACTTCTGGTTGAGGTTGCCTTCGACATCTCGTCGCTGATATATCGCGATGCAGGTGGGCAGGCAACACGTCACATGATGCGCTGAATCATCCATATCCAGGCTCCAATTTTCAAACGACTGCAAAATGTCGACGAGGTTTTGCTTGCATGCTTTGCCCCGCATCAGAAAACTTCAATGCAGCCCCAGGGTGGCCGCTGGATCGCCCGGCATGCATTCCCCAACCCACCGATCTGATATGGGCGGCTTGGACTGTGTTGACAGTCCTATTAGTTACATGCTCACTACTAACTGTCGCAGCTGACTGTATGGCTGCCTAATGTACAGAGTAGGCCCCGTCTGTTCGCCCTGTCGATGCCCTACCGGCCGATTTATTTCAGTCTGTCAAAATTGGGAAAAGGGCTTTCACGGAGGGTCGAATTCTTCCCGTTTTATCGACATCTTGCTTCTTGAAAATGGAGGGCAGTCTTCCTCGCTCTGCGCCCCTGGTGAACGAACTCGCTATGAGCACAGACCAAAGAGAACTTGACGGCGCAGCTCGAGAAGTCATTGACCAAAGCTTTGCCATTATCATAAATGCGTCCAAACACCACAGGAGTCTGCAGGAGAAGGCTATCGCTCGGGAGTTCAAGATGCAGCGGGATTATACAGATATTAGGTTTGAAGCTCTAGAGCGTCAGCTCATATCGGTCAATTGTGGACTTCATGGCCGATTTGGAGACATAGATCGCCAGTTCGGGGGCATGAGCAATCAATTCGGGAATATGGACCGCCAGTTCGGCGGTATGGGTAGTCGATTCAAAACCGTCGATGAAAGATTTCGCGAGGTGGAGCAAAGATTCGCTGAAATGGAGCATGTGATGGACCGGTTGAGCGCTACAACTATGAACTCAAAGGCGGATAGACCTATGAGGGCGTTACACCCTATTAGTGCGTATCAGCCAGATCGTGGCTACCACGTTCATGAAGATTTTCCGAAGACTGTAGGACATTTCTGGAACTTGAAGAAAAAGTCTAGATGTGAGGCAGTGGACCTTGATAGTTTATCTTGAATTCAATTCCTTTGAATTTAGTGTACTGATACCCGTATTGGCATAGTACCGCAATTGATATCTCTATCCCTGTTCTATGGAGTCTCTCGCGATGAACTTATTGAGCCCGTGATGAGCCAAGAACACAGCGTAGAGCAGGTTCAGCAATATGCCGCTCTAACACGAAAGGAGCTGATTGAGAGGTTCCCAGAGTCTGCTCACATGGCGTTGGCCGATCGATTCGGTCTCAAATATCACAAGGTGGCTGCATTCATGTCACGGCTTGGGGACTATCGATTTCAATCTCCGCGTAAAAGATCTGCTACCGACGAGGCAACAGAAGCTCCTTGCAAAGTCGTTCGAACCGAGATTGTACCTCAGTCTTGTGTTGATATCACATCTGAGGCACATTGCCCAGCCCCACGATTTGTCCCCTTTTCTGAGAACGAAATTGTTCCGCTCGAGTTTCTTGTGAGCAATACGCCTTCTACGGTCGAGTCAGTGTACTCCGATAGGACTCAACTAGGATGGGAGGAAACCGTTGACCGACAAAAGCTAAACGCAGTCCTTGCCGTAGAAGCTGAAGAAATAAGACGAGAAGAGGACCGAAAATTCGAGGAGAGGTTTACGGCTTCCCTTCCTTATGTTATTCTGCCCGCGCCTCCAGTATCGGTCACAGACAGCGCTCCGGACAGCCCTTATCATCCGGAAGCTGCTAGCGAAGCTAGCAGGGAGAAGGATCCAAAATGTGATGATGATCAGCAACCAATACCTGTCGAACCCGGCTCTCCTAGAAGCATGCAGACCTAGCGGCGATTTGCCCTCACGACTCCCACGACACATAAACATTTATATTATTCTTAACGAAGAAACGAAGTTAATGCCCTTAATTGTTTGTACGATTTATATATTTAGCGCACCTCGATACTTTTTTTATCCCGCTTCAGAAAAAGGATACTTTTCACCTGTGATGTTACGTTTGTTAGAGATTTTGGGACACCCAACTCATATAGATCTGACGAGAAAATGAGCAATCCAAAGAAGTTTTATGCTGAAGACTAGATAATGACACAATGGTTACTACAAAGCCAGACGGGTCCAAAATAGCAGCAAATCTCAGCTATTTCCCATTGGTCTCATCAGCAAACTTTAGACTAATGCTATTAACGCAATGCCTTTCGTCTGTTGGTGTTGAATACCCTTCTCCTTTGAATACATGGCCGAGATGGCCTCCACAGTTTGAACAGACGATTTCCGTCCTTGTCATGCCATGTGAGTTGTCCTCATGGCGTGTTACTGCACCGGGGATGCAATCGAAATATGCAGGCCAGCCGCACCCCGAGGAGAATTTGTGCTCCGCTTTATAGAGCGGCGCATCACAGCCGGCGCACTTGTAGACGCCCGATTCGGGGCGGTGTTTGTCGTATTCGCCTGAGAATGGAGCCTCCGTGCCTTTGTCACGAAGAACGCGAAATTGAGCTAAAATGAGTTAAAAAATTGCCGATTAAAAACATCTTTTGTAGAAAAAACAGAGAGAAAACGTACAGGGGCTTAAAACGGCTCGCCATTCGTCTTCGGTTCGTTTATCGGGATATACCATGCTGCTCGCGGGGGTAGCAGTTGTAGAAAAGCGGTTGAAGAGACCGCCCAGAAAGGACATAAAGGAGACTCTCCGGAGGGAGATGGGAGAGGTAGCTCCTATCTGGCGCCTGGGAAGCGCGGAGTACTGTGAAAAAGAAAAGATTGGCCTGGAAATCAAATACCTGTTGCTCAGGCTTGACTTGATGATGCGGGGGATGCTACGATAATGACCACCCATATGCCAGATTAACAAAGGCAAGGATAACTAATGGACGATTTGCGAATCGTAGACTTGAGCAAGAAGAGGATTGATGGGTCCAAATAGGTTTGTTACAAACAGCTTCCAGCATTCATTGGAGGATGGAAGTCGAGTCCTCATCGCCATGGCATCCATCTTGAGAGGCTTGGCAAGATCATCGCCTTGTCTTACTTCCACTCATCACCTCCCTTAGCCTCACCGACGCGCCTTGAGCTTCAACACCAGAACAGCTTGCAATGATCGACTCTTCTTCCTATAAGAACACACTGGCGAATTGACGGCCACAGGGTTCATCGAGCGAAGCTCTTGTCAACAGCCTGGAAGCCCACACACACGCCAAACTCTCCGTTTTCTACCATGGCTTCTTTGCCACAGAACATCCGTGGTTCAGCGTCCCAATTGTTCTTCCAGGATAAACAAACATCCCAGTACGCAGCTCAACTGGCAATCTCGAAGCTGGCCCACCCGGATCGAGCTATCTTGGCCACCTTTGTGGAAGATGCTGCCGATCCTGAGGTAGCTGCGAAATATCTCCTTCGCGAAATATCCCCAGAGGACAGCTCAACAGAGCAGCCCCTAGTAACCTTGGACGAATTCCTTTCAAGATGGAAGACACTCGTCGAAAAGTGTAAGTACTTGACTCGGAAGCACTTCTATACATGCTTTCGTTATGCTTCATATCTAATGCGTTTCTAGTTCGTCCCGTACAGGCAGTTGAGCTCTCCAGCGATACCAAACTGACCATATTCAATCGTGATGGAGGCTGCTGTTGTGTCACAGATATAGCCTTCAAATCACCTTCAGATCCGAATCTTGTTTTTATACACATCGTTCCTCCCTCCGTGTTCACGGATCCCAGTTTGTCAGAAGGCGCGCATATTCGCATATCATGCGATTGTAGCTAAGTCAATGTTATCACTAGTCTCCCCTATCTGATATGCTCGATGCCTTCGTTTCTTGCAATTCAACAGAACGGTTTCGCTCACTGTTTGCAACCGCCAACAGTACGTCAACGGAGCGACTCGATAACATTTGGTTGATTTCTCAAGATGCGTTCAATGCTATCAAAGCAGGTGAGATATGCTTCGCAATCCTAGCTTCAGAGACCCCTGGCAAACATACTGAACAATCGGTAAGCTCCTGCTCTATAGCACCATAGGTTTAAACTTACGTGATCGTTATCATTAGTACATTATTGCGCTGAATACGTTTAAACCTAAAGGTTACAACCCACTTGGCATAACTAAACGTTCGCGACTCCTTAAGAATAGGACTCCACAGCAAACACCAATTGTAAGTGAAAATCTTTTGGCTCTGCATGCTCGATTCTCGCAACCTTTAGCATGGAACGAGGCAAAACAATTCATTGGTACACAATTTGACGGGACTAGCGGTAAGTGTCCCTCTTGTCCTCCATGAGTGGTGTCTCATTCCTGGGCAGGAACGCGGTCCTACTTCTCAGTTATAGCCAGGCTCTTTAGACCTCTGAAACTATTATGGTCCGTTTTTCCGCCTTTCATCCGAGTTTTTGTTTACGACAAACTCATTTGGATGGGTACCCGCTTGTATGGCCGGACTCTCTCGATGACAGTCTACAAATTGCCATTTGGTTTATATCTTCGAAGAGGTTCTCCAGGACTGTTCGAGAAGTACAAAGTCGAAGCTCATACACTCCGTATGGTAGAACAGTTCACATCTATCCCAGCACCTCGGGTTATTGATGTCCTCAGTACCCCTCGCTTTTCATACTTGCTTCTGACTCGTGTCCCTGGGCGGCCGATCGGTCCGATGATAAGCGTAATGACGGACGAACAGCTAGAACAAGTCGTGGTTGACCTCAAACGATATGTCGCTGAGCTTCGAAAAATGCCTAAAAACGTTGGAGAGCTCCAGATTTGCAACTCTCAGGGCGGTGGAGTTTTGGACTGGCGAATTCCTGATAGTCAACGAGAGGAACTACGGTTTGAAACCGAGAAACATTTCAACAAGTACCTGACTGATCCCTTTTGGGACGAGATCCGAAGCCGCGCTGCTGTGTCCCACAATATCCCACATGACATTGTTTTCACTCACGGTGACCTTAACCCTCGGAATATCCTCGCGGAGAATGGTAAAATAACTGGTATTGTTGACTGGGAAAATGCAGGTTGGTTTCCAGAATACTGGGAGTACACCAAGGCTCACTATAGTGTTCGGTCACTAATACGGTGGCTTGCCGATGTTGTTGACCGAGTTTTTGAGGGCTATCGCGATGAATTGATCGTGGAGAATATGCTTTCCGACCTACTCGGGCCTTTCTAACCCTGATACAGTCTTAACTCACGGCCGCCAAACTGTCGGAGGGACATTGTTTCCTGAAAAGAATAGTGGCGTATGCAACTTGTTACATTGCAATAGATGACTGAACGGCATAGACATATAATCGTGGGTGATAAATTTTCATCTCTTACGTAGTAGCGAGTGCGTACCTTACATAAAGCAACGCGAAAACTAGCAGCAAGGACGGATAGAAAAAACCAAAGAATGCGGAAAACAGAAAATGAAGATATTCCCACTCCTGGACGTAACCTTTCCTGTCCCATTGAATCGGCTGAGTGCACAGCACTGCCAGCGAACGGACTTGAACTCGGTCGTCAAGTGCGATATTAAGCAAGCAACATCGGCAATTGTGACGCTGGCTGTTGATTTCCAAGGGAGAAGCATCGGGCGATGAAACCGCGAAAATCAATGCTTCCCGCCAGGCTCCAATTGCGTGGCTGAAAAGGAGTGAGCGCGGAGGTAGTTTGGGCGGGTGGAGTAGCGCTCTGGTTGGTGACTTGTACTGACGGCTCCCTCTACCAAGCAGGGGATTGACCGCGATGCATCATAATCCTAGAAAGCCATCAGGCAGAAATACCCAGCGATCCATGGAGGCTCTGTTGATCAGAAATGCGGGGGGACGATAAACCGTCCTTTAGTTGCAATTAGCGACTGCCAATTTCTAGGCCGTGCTCACAAAATTCTCTATTAACCAATCTTCCACAGTAAACAAGAAATCTGATAGTAACTTGAACAGGGGAGGTACTCCGTAACATCACAAGAGATACACCAAATAGGTTCCAAGGCCAAAGGAAAAGAAGATAAATCATCGATGTCTGACAAGCCCGGTCACTGTCAAATGCCCCTGTGCAACCTCTACTCTCCACCCTTCTTTCGCCAGCCTCGAAGCCACCGCCGGCCCAAGTTTCGCTGTGCCGTTTTTGCTGTGCCTCCCGAGCCCAGTGATAATTCTGAACCCCTGTCGTACCGGTCCTCCTCCACCAGGCGCATACTTTGCATCCCCAAGTGATTCCCACCAGTCTTCCACGCGCTCGCACGCGATGCGAACGCCATCTTGCACACTGACTCCATGCAGGTCTAGCACCGTGCCTCTTGACTGTGAGTCCACAAGGGCATCCGCCGCGGCTGAGGTTTCCCGCCTTGCTATTTCAATATGCTTGCGACCAAGATCCGAATAATAGCTGGCGGCGGCACCCATGAGATGGTCCGATTTACCACGACGGTATGCGACTTGCGCTTTGTTAAAGGCTGTCTCTCCGGCACGCCGATGATGATCCGCCAAAATTCGACTTGAACCGAAACTTATTCCGGCATCTCTAGAATTAGGCAACGGCGATGCTGTTTTCTGATTCTTTCGAACTGGAGTATATTCCATCTGCGTCGAAATTGGTGGCGTCAAGTTCAGCTTCATGTTAATGACAGGTATTTCAGGCTCTGTAACCATGACTCTTGCAAGCTCATTTGCAGCAGAAATGGAATTGCGCGCCATTTGAAGCAAGCCAGCTAGCTTGATTGAAGGAACTGTGGAAAATTCTTCATGGAGTTCGGCGATTTGCTCAATGGTGACCGGATCATCCATAATGTTTGAATTCTTTTCAATTTCTTTCCTTGCTAAATAGTGAATAGTGGTAGGGAGATGTGCACTATTCAAATGATAGGCCGAGTTCACTGCTTGCATTGACAAATGAGTCCTAGAGCAAATGAAATCCACGTCTTTCTTGCCGTTGTCCCATTTATTATCGATATTCACACGGTTCAAGTCGGCTTCGGCGCAAGTTGAAATCGACTGTTCTAACATTTGTTTCGCTTTGGATCGTTTCCCCTTCCCTTTCCTTCGAGCAGTTTTGTGATTAGTCCCTTCTTCAAAGCCTTCCACCCCCTTGGGGATAGAGATTCGATCGTCATTCGCGTCTGTGCTGTTGTAATTGTTGCTGTCTTCAAAAAAGGCCAAATTGAGTAAGACGTCCATGGATCGGTCAACATCACCGTCGCATTTCCCAAGTGTATGAGAAATCGTAAATTGATCAATAGAAGGGAACATTTCATTCAAGTACACCTTCTTCTCTTCTAGGCCAAGTCCTGAAAATGCGGCCCCTCTTTGGGAGAGATTAGACGCTGTCGGCCCACTTTGCGCGGTGGCCTCTGGCTGCTTCCGCTTGCCGGTTGGTTTTCCTTTCTCGACACTCAGCGACGATAAACTGGACTCGAGACTGGTGATATTTGTCTCAAGTGACCGGAGAGTCCTATGCGACGGGGGAACGCTAAGCTCAGACGCGGCTCCATCTTCCTCCAACGCACCATTTCCACTCGTGCCGGACGGGTCAAAATCGCAATTTTCCTGAGCAGCTGCGAGTACTTTGAGTTCATCTAAAGTATCACGTAGCGCCTTGATGCTCCCAACGTCGTCATCCTCCAAGTTATAGTCGTGCGCGATCGCTGCGAAAAGCGCGGGGTCCAGCGGGGGACAGTACTCATTCTCCAACTCCTGTTCATAGCCAAGATCCAGCCTGTTAGCGATAATAGTAGACAAATTACACATATAAAAATCCTACCTCCAAAACACCGATAGCCTCGAAGTCGGCCATATTTACGTGTTAACGATCGTGTAGTCGCTAGGTCTGTGTTGAGGGCTCCTCGGGAAACTGGATAATGCATTTTCTTCCTTCGCTAGTTGTTGCACGGTGGAAATGGAGGTTGGCTATGGCTCTGTGATTTTTAATGAAGCAGAGTGTCGTTGGGCATGAAGCCTCTCGCGGTGCGATGAGTAAGTAACTAGATCATCGCTGTGTCATCGAGTCGGCCCCTGGTCGCGTGGTGGCATCACGTGAAGCTACAGCGGACTTGGAAGGTCAACAGTCCATCTCAATCAACCGCCGTCTTTCTCTGAAGCTCAGACGCGAAGTCCAGGTCAATGATCTGAACAAGTCTTTCTTTTCATGTTGTGCTGATCCTAGCGTGGCACATGGATCCCTGGATTCAATGCTGAACAGGTTATGCAAACCCTGCCCCGTCAACGGCAAGCAAGATGTATCCGGGCCCCTGGAGGATCTTAAAGCGCTATCAGGCCTGCTGCAATGGCCATATATTTCAGGCAGCCCAGCCTCTTCGGTGTGGCTGTAGGTCGCATTGAAAGTATAGTTTGCCAGTTCTCATCCAGGGGCCCGATAGACGATATCAGGCTTCGTGGATTGCACCGGTCTCCTGCGCATTCCGGCTTCAGCTAGAAACTTTGCATTAGCCATATATGCAAACGAAGAAGATTCTTTCAAGGTGGAAACAGATACCAGCTTGCTTGGCGGCTCTTTTCAAACTCTGAAGCTGCCAGATGCTCTGCGCGCTTTGCTTTTGCAATTCTGTACGGCGTTCCAATACTGGCTTTGCTCGATATCCATCCTAGGACACCTGAATCTTCTGGTCTGACCTAGAATATCTGGCAACCAATGCTGATTATTCTCTGGCTTTTCTTGGCTTGCTGTGAAGAGCGTCCGTTGACTGACTGTCACACATCTTGGTCCTGGTCATGGCGCTAGAGGCCTGAAGTGAATGTGCTCACGTGCTCCATTCACCAACTGGGGACTTGCCCTCTTTCGCTTTCCACTTCAGGCAATCCTCAATAGGCCAGGCTCATCACGTGCAGCAGAGGTCAACGGCTGAAGAGCAACCGATCTCCCACACTGCACCTGGGCCCCTCAACCACTTCCCATTGGCATGACTATATCCAGTTCTCCCCGAGATATATCCAGGACTTCCTGCTTCAAATTACATCTGGGCCATCTTTGAAAGCAGATAAACCTGGACCAGTGAGTCTCCTCTTACATGCCAGTATCGCATCCCGGCCGCGAGCTAACGACCGCAGCAGACGGCAGAAATGCAGCTGATTCTCATCAACACCATATGCGGCCATGAGGGCTGCCATATTATCGATCTCTCCAGCGCCAGAGCCTATAAACCACTGGGCGAAAATACCGACTGTACCTTTTACTACAGCAAGAAGCCGTGCTTCCAATGCATCTACTCTAGGAAGTATGTCCTGAATACAAGTCAAAAATGGGTCAAAGTCAGATGTAAGTGAACTTTTTAAATTTAACCTGCCCCCACTTTTGAAACTGTTGGATGATGGGTGGCACTGATGGTCTGTAACTTACTAGCACCGAGACCGCCGAGTGAGGAGCCATCCACGAACGATGCAACTGAGGCTCCTGCTATCAATGAGCCAGAGAACCCCCGGGGTTCTATTCTTGCAAGAGGATTCAAGACAACCATCAACGCTGTCCGAGGGGCCACGCAGAATTTGACATCTGCTGCAAGAACTAAATGATGAGAGTCAAAAAGAACCTTATGGCTTTCATTATAACTTTGCTTCGTATTCCTTTCTCTGGAGGAGCTAGCACTGCGTCGTTTTCAATGTGATATTCTTTGAGTGCGGAAAGGCAGGCCTCCCCTTTTTTCAAAGCGCGAAATTCTTCGCCGATGGATCTGCTTCCTGTTCAGACATCCCAACACATCTTAACAACTCTATTGCCCGTGAGATACTTGAGATGTACGTGGGATGACCCCCTTTTATCAATCATTACAATACGGAAGTCTTCAAAGATGTATTCCAGCTGTCTCCTCGCCGTACGCCTAATTCTAATTCGCCGTTTATTGTTTAATCTTCTTTATCCTTTCTTCAAGCCATGTCTATGCGCTATGATACAACACACAAAATTAATCACCTTTTAACTTACGCTCAGATAGGGCTGCAACTTCATTGTCCCTTAATCGAGTGCAAGATGCCTTAAACAATATACCCCGCGGATTAGATTCCGGGGCACATGGCCGTCTTCCCACGTATATCGAGTATATTATGGTATGAGCTAGATGTTGTATGCTAGATATCTCTTGAAGCAGGATTGGTTTGCCTTGAAAAATATCATTCTCAAAGTCATCTATGGGTGTAAATACGAGGGTCGCTGTCAGCCAGAAGTCGTTAATTGCTCTCCACACTACAGTGAAAGGCGCATATATGAACATATTGAGCTCTGTTGCAATTTCCCGCTGGCCCTTATCTCTTGCTATGGGTACATTTCACCCTCCTCGCACACTCGCTTAAACACCTCATCGGTGTGCTGCATTACCTTCTCCACCGCGCCCTGATCCCTTGTACTTTCCAATTTCTTATTCGCTGGGAATACCTCCCCATCCCAATTGACCCAGTAACAACCACTCCCCTTTCGTCCCGTCGCTGCGAACGCCACGACCCCTTCATACCCTCACCCTCAACTTTCGAGGGGAACTTCTCGCTCGTGGCAGCAAACAGATGCCTCTCCCCGCTCTCCTCAATCGGCACCATAAATGGTTTTAGCAGCGGCGTTAGTACTGCCGCCAGCACGCGCCCAGCTGGGAGTTCACGGAACAAGTTTGTGGCCACGCCGGAGGGGTACGCGTGAACAAAAGAAGTATGCGGATTCCGCTTTGCTAGGCCTTCCAGGAAATAATCACCCATCAGGCTAGCGTGCGCACCGCATTTGTTGAGGCTAAAAGTGTGCTTCAGACTGAGGTCTGAGAAATCAAGTTTGCCGGAGCCACCAAGACGGACAGCAACATGCGGATCGAGAACAGAAACCACACGGGAAAGTCTCGCTTTGGTGTCGATTGACGGATCTTGTGCGGCTGCGGTTAAAAGGGGGAGCAAATTGGCGACGAATCGCATCCGCGCGTAGTAGTGCAGCACGAATTTGCGGTCTAGGCCTTCCGTGGTCTCGTCCCGGCCCTTCAGGGTCATGTACCCGGGCGTCATGAATAGCAGGTTTAATTTTCGTTCTTTGGCTGCGATCCCACAGCACAATCTATCAACATTTTTGAGGAGAGATATATCAGATTGGAGAAAGGCCGGCTCAGCGGATGGGTTTATGTTTTTGACGGAGGCAATAGCGGCATCAGCGGCGGACCGGTTGCGGCCGATGAGGTAAATTCTGGGAGAAATAGTGTTGCGAGCGAACGCGAGCACTGTAGAGAGGGAAATGCCCGAGGTACCGCCAACTGAACACGTATTAGATAAAGGATTGCAAAAAAAAATAACGGAATGGAAAGGGGCCTACCAAAGACCGCTACGAGACCCGGACCTAAGGATTTGAGAGATGCATTATGGGCGCGAATGGCTGGGAGGCTCACCATGGCGGCTCCGATGTCTGGCGACAGAAGGCAGATTTGAAGGATATAGGATGCAAATGGTCGTTGTTGCGGCAGTCTGAAAAAGTAACGGCGACTCGCTCAAATATGTAGTCCCGCTGTGAGGCCAACTGCATATTGGGAGCCAGGATGAATCAAACAGGCATCCAGCCATACGTATACAATCGCTGGAAGTCGGCCCGCCTAGCCAAAAGAGTGCACAGCCCCCATTCTCGGAAAGTCTGGGCTAAGGAACGGCAGCTGAGAGTCCAAGCTTCCCACGCACAAGAGTTCTCTCATGAGCAGATGCGTGTTGAACTGATCGATTCAACGTCTCTGGAGTCTGGAACTGTCGTCGTCTGTTTCAGGGGGATGGCCATGCAAACAGTGCAAACAGCCCGACGACTGGATCTCACGATGGCAGACTCCATGATAGTCCATCGACAGAATATCCGCCTGTGATTCTTCGGTGGGCTTTGGCTTCGACATCGGAAAACTGGGCGTCGTATCTGCGTTTGTTGCGGAGTACATGAAGCATGCCTCTTATATATACCCATGGCAATGACCATGGTGATATTGCTTCATGACCCTTCAGGCTTCCAGCCGGTTCGAATAATGGAGCTGCATGGAGCTCACTTTGCTCTCCTGATGGCCGGCAGCCTCAACCTGATGCACAAGAGTGGCGCAGGATGTCTGTCCAGTGCGGTTTCCCTTGAAGCCCACTGGCGCAAAGCTCCTGCTCGGCTCGCCGTGCAACTGCCTTGTGCTTTGTTAACGCTGGGATATTTAGCCCAATTGGTTTCAGTCTTTCTCCTGCTTTGGCTTCCTCGCTCTCTCATGCTCGTACTCAACACTGCTATCTCATTACTCTACATCTTCATAGACTATATTTGCTCCAAAGGCATTCTTCCAACACGATAAGCTGCTCTTCTCTGTTAGCAAAAGCCTTGCGCAACCATACCTTTTACAAAATATGCATTTCAAACTTGTTTCTCCTGTTTTGACGTTGATCGCCTCTGCTGCTGGTGAGAGAGCTTGGTATTTACCCGCTGCTCCCGGACACCGGCTGATCGACCTTGTAAATAGCACTTCAGTTGACGAATCCCACGAATGGTGCCGTGTGGGACATGTCCAAGCAGCACACCATCTCCTGGAATCATGTTAGGTGAGATCTTTCGTTTACTGCGGGAATATAGCGACCTGGCTCATCCTTGATAGCACCGATCCATTGACTTTCGCCATCGAGTTGGTGAACATGAATGTTCACCCACCGTTTCTGATGCGGATTGCCCGAGGTATCAAGTCCAATGCAGGCTCCTATTCGACAAAGCCAATGCACAATGCCCCAGACGGGTACGCCGCCTGCTTTCATGAGTAATTCTTAAGACTTGCCAACTAACTATGATCAACAAACCCGCAGCAAAGCTTATCAGTTCAATTTCGTATCTGATGACCCCAGCAGACCTGGAATCCTTGCTCAGTCTCAGCAATTTACCGTTCAATCAGGTCCCCATGCCCAGTCGGACTCCTCTTCGAGTAATGGGATTACAACTCCTGCTACTACTATTACTCCTCCTCCTGGTCCCATTCCTTCTTTGACTTCTAGCCTTACTCGCAACCCCAATAACAGTATGTTGCTTCCTCTCCTATCGGTCAGTACCGAGAGCTAACTGTTCTGTTACAGCTGCGATTATCCCTGGGTACCGCGGAAATACTGTCTCTCTTTCTTCCAATTCTACTGCGGCACCTACAAGCACACGCCGTTCATCCACGACCCGTGTCGCTTCCGGGAGCAATGCAGAACGTACTAGCAACGCAGCTCCGGTCCTTCAAGCCTATAGTGGTGTTGGTGGCTTGGTTCTTGCTGCTCTGGCCTTCGTAGCTTGAGCCAGAGCAAGGTACTTGTGTTCATGTAAAAAAAGAAGCGTGCTCTCAAAGTGGCTCGCCTCTTATCAATGTGTTCTAGTTCACGACTTAGCTCAGACAGATGATCATGGTGGATTAGAGCTTTTGTATCTCTAGCTCATGCCATAGAGGCCTGCATAGATAGATAGCTTCCTTGGATGGAATCAATATAGATACTTGGTCTAACTCTGCGCAACCGTCTCCTCTACATGTCCTTCCGTCTCATTGGAAGGATGGATTTTAACCTTGGAGGAGCTCGTGGGTCAAAGTCCTTCAAATTGGGTCATAAAATTCAAGTCAATTTCACTAATCGTACAGGTGTATTTTGCAGAAAACCCCAGAAACCCGTGCAAGAAATCAAAAACAATTCAGAAATCCACCATCATCCTTCGAAATCGCAGTAGAAAAAGCCATCCGATAAACTCCCCGCTGTTTTCGCACTTTTCAACCGTCAATTAAACTGAAAACCGGTCGAGATAATGAAGAAAGTCGTCGGTTACTGAGAAAAAAGCCCTTAAAGCACTTTCAGCCCAAGGCTATCATCAGAACAGTAAAGATGTAAAAAAAGAGCTTCTCTCGTTTAGAGCTCGAAAATAAATCCCCACCGAGAATTGTCAATGTCGTTCACAAAGTCAAAAAGCTCTTTGCGGAGAGTAGGGTTAAGGTCCGCCAACTCGAGTAACTTTGCACGTTGAGAATAATACAATGCGACACCCCATGATTCGGTGCCTTCAAAACGTCCTTTGGGCTTGGTCTTGGGACAATTCTGCAAGATATTGCGCATGATGAGGAGAGCCTTGTACGCGATGCCGTAGGGTTCTTTGTTCTCGTCTTGGGGAGTGACAAAATATTCCCAGCGAATGAAGCGTTTTGGGTAGAAAACTGGTCTGCCCCACTCGCGAGGGGGATCGTCCATGTTAACGATTGGCGGGAGATGGCCTGAGACGTGAGCAGCGACTTGGTCAAGATTTGAGGTCGGGGTGCTGAATTCTTTGCAACGATCAAAACGACACACGGGCTCGGGAACCTTCTTGTATTTGTCAAAGGGGTACCACTTGCCATCGACTCCGTTCCGAATTCCCATATGAACGAGCAAGACGTGCTTGCGATACTTTTCCGGATCGACATACACACGGTTGCACACTTCTAATTCGGGATCGTTCAGACTGTTGCCGGTAAATGTAAGATCCTTCAAATCAAGGTATTCTGGCATGCGCGACGGAGCCTCATCTGTAATACGCTTGAGAGTTTCTGGAGTAAGAGGTCTTGGCGGTCCTACTCGGTAGACTTCTGCTCCGGCAACGGTGGCTTTGTCCCAAGCTGGAGTTTGACGAGCCGGCTGTTCACTTTGTTCGTCTTCGACAGTTGGCGGATGATAATTGCTGCTTGGTGTCGGTGCCAAGGGCTGGCTGCTTGACGCAGTAGCATCCTGAACATCAGACATTGTCACGTCTTGTCCTTGCTCCGCGTCCACGGTGGGAGGGAGCACAGGAGGTTGAGCGCTCGATGCCGACGCAGGTTGCTTTGGCACTCTCCACTTGCAGTAATGGTAAGGAAAACCATTCATATCATTGCACACTTCTCGAGGACGGATTCCTTGAATAACGAACTTTTGGCCATTACCTTCGTTGATGACTCGAGCTCGAGCAATGCTGAAGGCGTGAGTGACGGTGTTAATGAACTCTGGAGCCGGCAAAAGTTGCGAATGTGACTCAGGCTTGAGGAATTCGGCGAAAGTCCGTTGATATGAAATCCAGACAGCTCTTTGTGCGATTTCGCCTTCTGAATCTTCCATGAATACGCATTGTGCCCAACGTGCGGTGCGCTCAGGTTCTTGGAATTCTAATAGGGCTTCGACACCCCGTGGCGGAGGGATCGCAATTCGGCTTGGAGGTGGACGTGTCTCTGCACCTTTATAAACCTTGAGTTCGTGTTGACGTTCTGCATCATAAAGCAGGAGAGTCACGAGTCGCGGGATCAAAGTCGTGGGGAGATCGAGGTTATTGACCATGAATTCGACGTTATCGGGCTCGCAAACGTACTGATAAAGAAAATCGAGCACAGCCGACACCAATTCCGGGTCGTTATCGAGAAGAAGCATGTGGGTCATCCTGACAAGTGTAGACTTTGGCAGGCCGAACTTCTTCACTCCTTCGAGCTCATACGAGAACATGACCAGTGCCCTCAAAGCGCTGAGTAACTGGAAGCGGTCGTTGGAGTTCAAATACTCCATAAGAGTATTGAAAAGAGGGTCGTTTTCCCACAACGGCCACCACAGACAAGCTTCGATAACCATCTCAAGCGTATGGTTCTTCATCTCCGTAAAAACTGACATCGGGGGGAGATTGAGCACGATGGTCGCGCAGTCCCTCGCCATATTGACGATGTCGAGAAAGTTGGCATTGACATCCACCTGGCACATGTTTCGGAGGATCAATGCTGCTTCGTTGATCATACGAAGCTTCTTTTCGGTTTCATCATCCCGTACGTCCGCTTCCGGGAAGATGATTGGAAGTCGGCGAAGCCGCTCCAAGATATCAAAAGTGCCTTCGGCACAAAGGTCGTCAAAACGCGCATTTTCCTTGTACTCGTCGTCGAAATATGCGTAATTGTAGTTCACTTCCCATTCGACGCCGTGAACAAGCTCGCCGACCGTTAAAACTTGCTGGAGTAACGCCTCCAGGAGGAGCGGAAAATCCGCAAAGAAGAACTGGTTCTGGTAGACGTCGGAGGCGATTACCAAATGGTAAAGGCCAGCTTCGACTTCTTCCGGAATCCTTGACCTTACGCCCATATAAGAGCGATGAAAAATATCCCCTCCTAGTGAATGGACTCGTCAACTTTGATCTTCTTGGGATGCAGAAGAGCACATTTGAGTATATAGCTTACCAGTACGATCAATGATGATCGAGGGGGGCCCCGGCTCTGGGGTTGGAGAACGCGAATCTCCACGCGATTCAGAAATAGCGGCTTCGGCCGCAGGAGTTGCCATCCTTGAAGATGACTGTTCTGGTTCCTCTTCTGGTGTGGTGAAGGGGAGGAACGAGCGAGAAACGGAGCGGACAAAAAGTGAGGATGGAGGTTGTGAGGGAGCAGGAGGAGCAGGAAGAGAGGAAGAGAGGTGAGGGGTAGGACCCGTCGACGCGTTTATACCGGCTGACAAAGCTCCGTTAGTCCCAATTCGGCAAGACACCCATAGCAACCGGAAGACACCGTCAACAAAGGAACACATTGGAGGGCACATTGTGAGGCCTAGCGAAGAGAAGTGCAGCAAAGAATATCAGGATGTGTTCCACTCACCAATTGGCCCGGTATAACCACCCGTCCGGATCTCCAAGTCCCTGAATAAATTCGAGTCAAGTTAGATATCAATTCCCAAAAGATTGTAGATACTAGACAAGACACTCACAACAATCGCTCTCTGTAGAGCTCTCGGAGATGAAAGGAGAGGGTTCCAGCCAGCCCGGTCTGAATACCCACCTCCTCTGCGATCTCCCACCAGCGCCTCTTGTCCGAAGAGACCTGGTGGTATCCTCCCCGCCGTCCGACCGCTCGAAACAAGGTCTGCGGGTCAACCCGCTTCTTCACAACGCGCCAGTCCTCCTGGGGGTTGAAGGACCGGCTGGAAGGGAAAATAATCAGCAACCGTAAGGGCTAAAGCGAAGGACCACGAAGCAGAAAATCTCAGTGCTGGCGTTGAAGCTTACCCAGCCTGCAAATATGCAGCTTCCAAGCTCTGCGCGAAGTACGCTGCATCGCTCTCTAGTCTCTGGCGATCAAAGCTCATTTTGGTCACGTGCTATAATGCAAGTTCTTGAACCAACGCTGATTGGTGCTTGGGAGGCGGATGTTGCTGGTGCAGGCACGTGATGAGAAAGGAAGAAGAAAACACGTGATGCGCTTTTTGGCTGCTTTTTATTTGGGCCATGGACCGCGCTAGGCCGCTTTGGGAGCTGAGGTAAGCGAAACCTCTGGAATAATCTTGTTCCAGGCAGTTTTGTATTAGTTATGTAATCAATGGTCTACGCGAGAATCTGCGGCTTCCCCTTAAGATAAGGGGATGGAAACTATGAGCAGAGGATTGTGCTGATAAAGGGCTGGTATGGGAACACAAAGATCCCACGTTGTATTCAGTGGGCTATGACTTTGATTCTCTGCGAAAATCGCTCTCAGTTTCTGCAGCGTTGAGCCCGACTCAGCGGATTTCCCGTTTAGGTAGTCGTTGCCCCAGCGGACGAGGACCATCGGTATAGAATCATGTGATGTCTTCTGTATCTTGTAGAAATCCCCAGGAGTGCAATCTACGGCCTTGTATCTGTCTGTTGAGATACAAGGAGTTTCTTAATGATCCTGCCCTTCCGTCGCCATGGAAAGACACAGCAGCTGCCCTCTGGCCTTGCTGGTGTTGAAGTTCTCTTATGTGACGACCACGGTAGGGCGAACATCGCCCCTCAGTTGGACTCATATAGCAGGAGGCACAGATCTCCTTGCGGTTTTTGACCGGGTCCGTGTGCAGGAGAACGCCTCGTCATGGACGGCAGAGTCCAAGCTGACCCTGAAAGTCCTACGGGGTACAGACGTCTTGGTGAGCTAGAGAGGCCTATGGCCATAATGCGCGTCTGCAGTGCGGGGCTTTACTGACCCAAAGCCCTTCTTCTGTAGGAAGATCTGGACCTTGGTGCTCTCGCCAGGGAGGCAGTAGCTAGTTCATCGAGCCAGCAGCAAGTGCCAAACGCGAAAACACCTATTGCGGTGATTGTCAAGTCTCCATGTCTTGCTATCCGCTATCCTACGCGTGTCAATCAGGTGCGGTGCTCTGTTATGAACCGATGGGAATATGATGTTTCGGGATGCTGATAGCCTTCCTAGATACGCAGGTTTCAGCTGAAGTTCTCGTCAGATGCAGATTACTGCAGAGCAGTCTCTGTCTTGAGCGAAGCTGGCTGTCCTATAACCGAATCGACCGCCGCTCCAGCTCCACCTTCAGCTCCGTTTAAAACAAGGCTTGATCCTCCTTCTTGGCCTCAGAGCGCGGTTACGCCGCCACCAGCTCCGACTGCATCTCAATTTGGCGATCATGGGATACTAACACCAACTACGGCTCTGGATGCCCGTCCGTCTACTGTCGTAGGTGTCTTCTTTCCAATACTCTATTGAATTGATTGTGTCTGCTCGGCTTCAGGCTGACTCTCTCTTTCACGGCAGGGATCAGCTTCCACTATCGGCACGGCTCCCCCTTCGAGAAATGCCCCAGTGACGGGAGGCAATACGACTTCGCCGTGGTTAAACTCCCATGTCTCCAATGAGAGACCAGCAACGGCACCCACGTTCCCTGATCCAGAGTCAATCAGCCAGCTGCTTCCCCCAAAAAGAGAGCTGCCGTTTGCAAGGCCCCAATGGTCCCGACATGCTTTGCAAAATCAAACACCGACTAGCGCTACAGAAGCTCTGAAGCCAATGGTGCGGACGCATAGCCATCAGCAATCAAACTCAGACCCCAGGATCCATACCCCAACACGTCTCTATTCAGATGGGCCGAGCTCTACTGCGCATACGAATTCCATGGAAAATAAGGCTAGAAATGAACCATTCACAGGCGACAGAGAGCAATCGGCCGTATTTTCGCCTGCAAGCCTATCGCCTCAAAAGCGGCCCTCAGAAGGACCTACCTCGCTAACCAAATTTGCGAGACCTTCCCTTGCAGATAGTCATAACAGCAACCCGCTTCGTGAGTAGCAATATCAGCCCCATATCTCCAACGATGACCTAATAAAAGTAAAGGTTTGACAGATACGCGCTCGAGCCCTGCCCTTAGATTCGCCCCGAGTCAACCAGGACCCGAAACTCACTTTCCATCACCAGGGCCAATTGTAAATACAAATAACCAAAGCGTCGATATCCAAGTCAATCGTCTCGCCACTGCCGGTACTAACCCCGTACCCACCCCGGAAGACTTATCGTCATACCTTTTAACGCCAACGCCAGAGCGCTCAGCCTTCATAGAGACGTGGGTCTGTAAGCAATTAGAAAGCGACGGATTCCTCACTTTATGTCAGGACGTTGAAGGTGTATGGAAACGGATTGCTTTTGGGCTCTGAGGCCTAGCGATGGATCATGAACAAGACAATATCTCAAAGAGCGGTCATGATTTATCAACTATAACGCCAATAACTTTTATATATATATATATATATATATCATCTACAAGCACACCTTTTTCCTTTTCTTTTATTTTTCCACAAAATACAGGGCAGCAAAAGCGATCCAACATAATCGTGTAATAACCAGGAACCGCCTGCTGGATTCTCCCCAGCGATAAACAAAACCAGCCCCCTTATCAGAAAAACGTAGCAACGGCATCCGACATTCCGAGGGGAAGTACGATAGGGGGTTGTTGGGCATCCTCGCAGAAAAACCAACCGCCCAGCCGTTTTTATCTCGGCAACGGCCCGTGGCAATCAACCCTTGTTTGCAACCTCCCCTGACCCCTCGGAAGGGAGAAAAAGAATTGGCACTGATTAAGCGATCGGAAATCTGCCGAGACGGAGAGATTCGACAAGGAGGACGTTTTGCTTTTGATTTGGTCAACATGAAGAAATTTGTACCTACTCGTTGTTGTTGATGTTGCTGTTGGCAGTCAGCATGGGGACCCCTTCATTATCTTCTACTATCCGCAACTGCGATTACAATGAGAAGGGTAAAATAAAATCCATTCCAGTTTCCGCTGTAGATACTTAGGAAACACTGTAGACAAACGTCCCTAGCTAATAGCATAACTTCGCAACTTGTGGTATACTAAGAAAATAGGAATATTGCAATCTTGATATCACGTAAAAACAAAGGTCAGGGGGGTAAGCCTGTAAACTAATAGATACTCATGCAATAAGAAATACAGAATAGTTTCTATTGTAGCACCGTTAAATTTGATATATACTGAACGCGAGTTTGGGGCGTGATCGCGCCAGCTTCACCGTATTTTAAATTTTTTTCTGGTTTGTGGTTAAGCGGTTTTCTTTAGTCGTACTGAAGTCAATTTTACCGTTCTAATCGACTCATCATTGAATTGTAAAATGGGCGTGGGAGGTTCATCGGCCATCGCCCGTCGCAAACGAGGGGAAGGAATGCTATTCAAGATCGACTTATGATGTCAAGAGGTTGAGATAGTCGACGACGATAAGCGTCACCATGCTAAGCAAGGGAGATAAATTAGCTTCAAGCCAAGGGACCAGGGGGAAGATCGCTCCATGGCGGATAAAAGAAAATCTGACTGGGGATCCACTTACGCATGGGGCGCAATCCCGCACATAGTAAGTTCCGAAGCCACGATAAAATCTCAACCCACCCTTTCATCCCGCACAACCTTTCGAGCGCAGTCGAACACACCCCTTGTACGGTAATTTTCCGGTGCTGGGGTCTCTCTGTTGCTTCTGCAGACGGGTCTTGATGAAATCAAATGGCAAAGATAGGAAACTGGCAAAGAACCCGGCAATTGCCGACGCAGCAAAAGTCCTGTTCTGGGGAGAAAGATTCGTATGGGCTTGAAGCTGGGACTTGCTTTCGGAAAAGAAGGTCAATTGACCAAAATTTAGGGCCATTGCCCGGATGACCGTCGGGAAAGCTCCAGCCCACAACGCAGTGATTCCTTCGGATTTCGAAATCCGAGCTAGGGCATCAATGACGGACCGGTAATTGGCTCTGGCTTCTTTTGGTTTCAATCCATCAGACTGCATGCGGATGAGTGCTAGATCTGCAGGGTTTCCGATCATTGCTGCGACCCCACCGGCAGTCAGACCAGCAGCAGCGCGCTCGCCAAAAGTAACTTTTGTTCCTGAGGACGCGGCACGTTTGTTCAAGGTTGCCATGAAAGTATCAAAAAAGCCGAGTCGTGCGGTGGTGTAAACCGCCTGGCGGAGGAGGCCTGCGGACAGACCGGTGTATAGATCAAGCACTCTGCCCGACGCGATAATCTCTTTGGTGACGCCTAAAGCCGAAGGGCGAGGGCCAGTTCTGACACCTTCGCCTGCCAGCTGCAATCGAACCTTGATCATGTCGATAGGTTGAATACAGGTGGTGGCTGTCATACCTGCGAGGCCGCCGTTGAGGAACGGCAAGGCTGCACGCATGAACGGGGTATGGAAAAATGAAGAGACACTTTGAGAGGGATTTTCCATGGCAGCTTTGGCTTCCTTGGTGGTTTTGGATGCGGCTGCCGCAGCAGACTCGGTTAACGACGTCGAAGCCATTGCGGAGTGCGACAAAAGGCAAAAAGTATCGAAAAGCTGGGAGATCTGACAAGATCAAGGACTTATAGCCCTGGATATGCTATGCGCTGGATTGATAAGAATCATCAGTGACATGCACTTGTATCCTTTTTAAAGGGTGCCCAAGACCATGTTTCTCATGTGAGGGGGCCCCGCAAGCCAGTCCGGGCCCGGGACAGGAAGCCATGGCATAATTGGAGAACTAGGAGCATGTGGAAGTTTACAACTCACTTCCCAAAGTGATTGACTGGCGAGTAGGGCAGTTTGGGTAC